CTTTCCTCATTTATTTTTGATACTTTTTAAAACACGGCAGCCCCATGGGTGAGTTTTTCGCTGACCGGGATCTTAATAAACTACATTTGTTTCTGTACTTAATGATATTTAGTTTAATACATATTCTAAATCTGTATACGTTAGATTTCAGATAACTGAAACCTCTGTCTACGTGCCTCAAAACAATTTGCTATAATCAAATCCCTAATCAATATTAGCAAATTAACTCTTTTCCCATCTAACTGGAGCAAAATCTTGCATCTTTAGTTCTTCAACACAACATCGCTAAACATAAACTGAATGGTTTATTTATAATAGCTTTGTTACTAAACTTTGAAAATGAATAATCTCTAAGATATACATAATTTATTTAGATATAAAGTCTTGATTACGGTTAATATGACTTTATGTACCGTCGAATATCCCATTAAAATTTACAAGGAATTAAAATAATAACTATACGAGGAAACGTAAAGAGCATTAAGATTTAAAAAACAAAGTTAAAATCGCCCGACTGTAACCATCTTATAAAGTACCAAAAATAGACGTCGTGGTTTAAATATAGTCAATTCAAAAGTTATCAATAGGCAGATTTATAACTCGTGTGTTTGTGCTATGTTAAATAAAAAATATAAATATTCCTAAAGGGTTATATCATATCATTTCTGTATGACATTGTTTCCCTAGAAATTCTGACATTATGAGGATGTCTTATCTTTGGTAATAACCAATCACAATGATTAATATATTTCCGACAGCCAATAACAATTTATTATTGTTACTTAACGACGTATCTTGAATAAGGACTTTGTAACTCTTAAGTCTTGGCACGTAATGAAGAAGCTCACTATGCTTCATTAATTAAATTTTTTCTTAATTTGAGAAAACGTCTATATAAATATACCGTACTCTAAACCTGTCACTAACGAAACATTCATACCCCCCTTCTTGGCACCAAAGTTTGTTACAATGGACGTAGACGTACTTCATTATCGTCATAACAGTTAGAATATTTCAGCCCAAAACTGTTCAACGGGCTGCCTAAACTGTATTCACCGCGAAGACAGAACCCAAAATTTTAGCGTTATAAACCTTCACGTTTACTGCTGAGCCACCAGAGGATATTATCATCTTCCTTAGTTCTGGTTACCGATATACAGTCCCAAACTTTTTTATGAATAACCCTAATTCTGGTTACCGATATACAGTCCCAACCTTTTTTAAGGATAACCCTAGTTCTGATTACCGATATACAGTCAGTTTTTTTTTAAGGATAAACCTACTTCTGGTTACTAATATACAGTCACAACATTTTCTAAAGATAACCCTGGTTCTGGTTACTGATATACAGTCACATCCTCAACCACAGAATGATAAGTTCGGTGATATTTTTTATATATAAAATGCTTATTCGTTTGTTTGTTTGTTTTCGTGCAACGAGCTATCCGTGCTGAATTTTCATAAAATGCTTTAAATATACAACTAGCAAAAGATGATATATTATTTTTTGTGCAAAGCCACACAACGGGCTATCTGCACTCTGTCCAACGCGGGGAATCGAGCCCCGGATGTTTCAGTTGTAAGACCGTAAATATACCTCTAACCCACCGGAGGACAAAAATGGTTTTTAAAATTTTTTACATGTACAGGACTGGATTATACAGAAATCCTGTTGAGAAGTTACTTATGAAACTTACCAAAGATGCATTCAAATTTGGAAAGCAGCTAAACAACTGGTCATCAAAAGTTTGTTGTTTGAATGTTAATTAATATCGATTCTTTATTTCTAAGCAAACAATCAACCACCAGTTCATCAACTACAATGAGAAAAAAACAATAATTTATTTACAAGTGATAAAAAACAATATATATATATATAAAGATTTGCATATTCTAGTAAGAGTATAAATTATGTAACCAAAATAAAAACAATTGCTCACTTAAGTGAAATTGATTTCAGAGAAATAAAAGTGAAATGAATTAGACTCGTCTATGACCTAAGAATGCAAGTTCAGGAAAACCTTATAAAATTTTAGAACGAGGTAATACAAAACCAATACATTGAACGCAAAAAGTAAAAGTAAGAAGAGAAGAGGCTATCTTAGCACTTTGTAATTGTTTACAAATTCTGAAGATATTACAATGTGCTTTAAGTGCATACTTTCTAGTATACACCACCAATTCTGTGCATTCTTTAAAAAAAAAACACAAAAAATCTTAAACATTCATATAACAGCAAGCACATTCACGTGAAGTTTTTCAAACAACCAACTAAATCCAATGTCCAGGTTCGAGGGTTAGGACTTCCACATGCATCAGATAAGTTTAAGAGTTTTTAGCCTGCAATGATACTGGGCCTAAGCAGTTTTAAAAGAGGTAAACAAATATTGTACATGGCGGCTTCTCACTCTTGCCTAGTCTGATCAACAGCGTATTTCCAATTAAATACAGATCACTGTTATTGTAATGCGTAGCGAATATTTCCATACCCAGTGGATAGAAAACCATGTGAAACAGATTCTATGAGAATAACACGAATACATAATATTAAATGTGCCAAAGAGTACCCAATGAAAACGCTCATTAAACTTGTATATCTACAAGTGGTTTACGTGCTTTATTTTGTTGTTACCCTATTTCAACAAATAAAAAAGGTCTGATTGTGAAGGATATTAAAAAGTCTGACAAGAAATTATTTACCTCAAATTGTAAGCCTGACCAAATTCTGAATTAAATGGTGATTTCAGGGGTAACAAAAAATCTACATAAGCCTGAAAATACCAAAGTACGTTTAGCCATGTTTAAGCCAATATTCTACTGTGTATATTAAAAATACGGTTATTTCACAATCACTAAATTATTCACTGTTTGTTGCGGGGGTGGTGAGGTGAACCCGTGATATGCTGGAGGCAAGTGGCACGCTATGCAAACACTTACGGCACGCTCGTTATTTAGAAAATATCACATGTTGTGGCACATAGCACAAATTTTGTTTGGAATTTTCGCACAGCACGATTTTTTTGATACATATAGTAGTAGTAATAATAATGTTTTGACAGCGGAAGTCACGCGACGCTGGAAGGATGCGCGCTGGAGTTTCTAGAAGAATCATGTCTCTTCCTGGCAACTCTAGTCTTTTCTACGCGCCCTCTATTTTAGTATATAAGCAGGCAAATAAAGCGAGATAATTAACTGAACTGCAGACAGGCAGAGATAGAGACGTACAATTGAGTCAAGCGCGGTGGTGACCGTAAGCAAAATGCGTGAATCGTTGTGAATTACAGCGTGTGTTTAAGTTAAAGTGACTGTGGAAATTAACTGTATTGCAAAGTTGTATTGAAAAAGAATAAACTAATTTTATTTAAGAAAGGACTTGTATCGCTAAAGTTTCATCCGAAAGAAATTATACGGGAAATTAACAAACGACCAGAGACGTAACAATAATTTTACTCAACTTGTAATGCTCTTTGACTGCTTGAACCTCACGTACCTACGACTTGTTTGTTGTTAAGCAACAGAGGTACACAATCAGCTACCTGTTCTCTGCCAACTACTGCATGTATTGAAAGCCGATTTCTAGAGTAATAAGTACTTATGACTTACTATGTAGCCACAGTAATGCCTATTCCTAAGGAGTTTTTATCGGACAAGTGGCATCTTATTCGAAATTCATATCTGAAATTTGCACAACTCCTAAAAGGGTTAATCACCTTTGAATTATTGTAACAATTATTATTAGGCAGCCCATAACTATTTTGTCAAAAAGTAGGTCTTAGCAGTAAGTCAAGTTAGACTAATATGGTCTATCTGATGAGAAAAACTCACTTTGAGACTAATAAAGTTTAATGACGGCTTGAATGGGTAACGACATAAAGTTTAAGGCAGTGACAAATGTACAACGTTTCGACAAGTACCCGATAATGACAAAACATTGTCGAAATGTTGTACATTTTTTACTGGGTTAAATTTGCAATAACGTTTTCTCCGTTACACATTCAATGCTTCTCTAACGTTTATTAATATGATTAAATCTTCAAATGCTGATTACTTGTATCTACAGTATACTCTTGTTCCTCCAAACGCCACTAAATTTCTAGATTTAGTGTCATTATCATGATTAGCAGCTCCCTCTGGAAAACAACTAAACTGCAACATTGAACATTATTAATATTATACTCCATGTCTGGTGTAACTTCGTTAGTTTTACTATTAATAGTGTTTTAATCGCCTTTTTCAAGTATATAATAATTACAATTAATGTTAACTTTCATCAAAGTGTATAATTAAACTCACACGGATGAGATTTTCTTCGGCAAAATTTCCAAGTTTTGAGTTAGGCTTACGTGGGATCAAACTCAGGACGGGTATGACGTATCCATGTGTTTTACATGCATATTGGAAGTTAAAAAGTACTCCACGGTAACATTAAAGTTAAAGGCAGGCTTAACCATGACGCTTTATGAAGTACCAACATGTCAGACTTTCAGGAGTGTGCTATGATTTTCTATCAAGTTGAATTTTATGACTTGGATAAACGTTTACTCAGCAATAAAAAAAAAAGTTCTTTAAAAGTTTTTAACACTTTCGTTTCAACCCGGCTCAAACCCAGGGTAGTTCATGACTTTATAAACAACATAATTTGAAATAGTTTATGCAATTATACATAAACATGCTATTTTAATATGTGAACTTCCTTGTAGTACAGTGCTTATACTTCCCGGGTTACAGGTTACAACTAACCAACACATCTGATTGTTTATCTTTTTTTTCACTCTCCCTTGTTGAAACAATGCATTATTCTGGTTTAGAATAGTGTTCAGAAAAGTAAGATTAGAAATGTTTAAAGAGAGAGGTAGAGTAGAAACTTCGGATAACTATTACTCATATTACTGTTTTTGTAAACTATAAAATTGCTCTTACGGTCGAAACAGTTTGAAAGTGCTTACGGTCACGGAAGAAAAGTTTAAAATATTCTATTACGGTCATAGCAAAAAAAAAAGTGTAAAATTATTATTCCGGTAGTACCAGACAATAATTCAAAATTGTTCGTACATTTGTAGTGAAAGCAACTGATATTTGCTATTGCTCTCATTATGCAGTAATTTAAATCTGTTATTATTTACAGTGCCTTGCAAAAGTATTCACTCCCTACCAATGATGTCACATTTTGATGAAATACAAATAATGTAAAAATTTTTTTAATAAACTTGTTTTTATTCAAAACTCTAATGATCAAACTTAACACTATTATGTGTGAAGGAGGTTGAACGTCAGCAAACCTGCAGAGAAAATGTATAAATTAAAATTTGCTGATTGCATAAGTATTCAGTCCCCTAAGACAGTACTTGGTGGAAGCACCATTAGCAACAATTACTGCACAATGGGATGATGTAACTGTTTACCCATTCTTCCTGGCAAAATTGCTCTAATTGTGACAAGTTCTTTGGGAATCGTTGATGTACTTCAATCTTCAAGTCTCGCCGTAAATTGTCCAATGGTTTCAAGTCAGAACTTTGTCTGGACCACTCCAGAACATCCACTTCTTCTTTTGAAACCACTCCAATGTTGCTTTGGCCATGTGCTTCGGGTCAATATCCTGCTGAAATGTGAATTTTCAACCCAATTTTAGATTCTTGGCTGACTCAAGCAGGTTTTTCTCTAGGATTCGCCTGTACTTTGCGCCATTCATATTCCCCTCAATCCTTACAAATTTCCCAGCCCCTGCTGATGAAAAGCATCCCTGTAACATGATGCTACCACCATCATGCTAGAAAATTGGGATGGTATTGACTGGGTGACGTACTTACTGTGTTGGGCTTGCTCCACAAGTAACGCTTTAAATTTACATCAGAGAGCCCAATTTTTATCTCGTCTGACCACAAAACCTACTTCCACATGTCTGCAGTATCATTTACATGCTTTGTCGCAAACTCCACATGAGATTTAAGATAATTCTTTTTCAGTAAATGTTTCTTTCTTGCCACTCGCCCATAAAGGCTAGCTTTGTGTAGGGATTTGAATATTGTCGATGTATGAACACTGATTCCCATCTCAGACATGGAACTTCGCAAATCTTCCAAAGTCACTGTTGGCTTCATAGTGGCATCCCTAACCAGTTTCCTGCTTGCCCGGCTGCTTAGTTTGGGAGGGCGGCCTGATCTGGGTGGTAATGATGGACTTTACCGTACTCAAAGGAATAATCAGCGACTTTGAAATTTTTTTTGTAACCTTCTCTACCACTTTATCTTCGACTTGTTTGGAAAGCTCCTTGGTCTTCGTGGTTGGTTTGTCGTATCACTATGCGAGTTGTGGCTTGAACAGATGCATTTGCTCTGAAGTCAAGTTAAACCACTAATTTTGTGACCTTTCAAACTAATCCTTTGCACCTGAACTGACTTAGGGGTTGCCGTGGCAAAGAGGTTGAATATTTATGCAATTGAGAATTTCTAATTTTCTTTGAAAATCTAACTTGCGTACACAATATCATCGATTTTTTAGTTTTTTCATTTGAAAGTTTCATGATTGCAAGCTCAGACGACAACAAAACGTGGAAACTTTACAGGGGTGAATACTTTTGCAAGGCACTGTACTTAATAGACAGTAACGTAAGTTTCTGTAATTTCGTAAAAAAATGTTGCTTGGCTTTGGTTTTAAAGAATATGACACAGTCGCTCAGAAAAAACAGGAAAGACATGTCTCTCCCCCACAACACACACACAGACTGCCTGTAGGAAAGCGCAAATACAATTTTAGAGCACTAAAATATCTATAATATTGTAAATATTAACCATATCTGGACCTGGGAGCACCTTTCAGGTGTGGAGAGCACACCCGCATATCAAATTTCAAAATTTAAGAAAAATATCAATTCAAATATATTTCACCAACTTGTAACTCAAGAATATTTTATAATCGATATTTTTTCATTCTGTACCACTAACAGCTATTTAGTATAATTCACAAAGAAAGGGTATTTTCAGCAATGCTGTGTATGAAGAAGTATTTGAGGACTTTAGTAACAGACAAATGCCTAAACAATCTGATGACAGTACGCTACCATCAAGATAGGAGGACTCGCACTAGATTTAGTGAACACTGACAAGTTTTCATCTCCAAACGACAGGTGGAATCCTAATTTAAAAAAATTCTCCTGAAGATCAAGCAATATGCAAATATTTTAATATTAGATATTTCACTAGAAATGGTGTACAGTCCTCTTTATTTGAAAATTACCTGGTAATTTCCATTTGCACCAAGGAGACTACAATTAAGAATGGACCGAGATGCTTTTGTCCTTAAATCAGTATTTAAGAGTGAGAATATAATGTGAAATCAGGTGAAAATTTTAGGTAAATGTTATTCAGCTAACATGACTATTTTCTTCCTTAACATTATGATTTAAGAATTCAATTTACAGTTTTCTTTAAAAAGCATTTTTAAGACATGCAAAACAAATACATAATCCTTTATACACTTAAAAAAACGGGAATTTATACACCTACTTAATCTTAAACGACTAAAAATAATTTGATTCTAATGCTTGGAAGAATACTTAAAAATCTGAGTTACAATACAAAAACAAGTATGTTACTGAACGTGCTAGGTTACTTAATTTATGATACAAGTACATTTTACAAAAATAATTAATATAGTTTATTGCAATACCATCACCAAACAACCCCGCCCCACCGCTACACTTATGATTGTAGCCTCACTAATATTTTATTGTTTCCTACGCTTAGGGGTAATTTTTGAAAACAAACACTTACGAACACTTGTTTTGTACAAGGATGTGACATTGTCGCTGGTTGTGTAGCAGAAAACACAACATATACGTTTCCCATATAGTTCACAGTGAAGCTGCTCTGGAGCATGGCGAGATCTTGCGCAATGTCACCCTGCGGTTCGACTTGGCAGCAGCACGCGCATTACTTTTTCAAGTTCAAGGTCATGCACATGTTTCTAAACGTTACTGCGTCACCAGTTTTGCTAGCTGTTAGTTACCACCAATAAAGAACCCATCTCTGGTGAGAAATTACTCTTAAAAACGTTCCTCTCCTGTGCATTTTAATAATGCATTAGAAATATTTATTTTCTTTAATTCGGCTTCTCCAAATTCTTCAAGCGATCACTTTCGGAGGCTTTAATTTCATCTCGTTGAGCAACAATGCAGCAACAAAATGGTAAAATACCAGAACATAAATCATGTACTGTTTGTCAGCGAATTGAAAATATAACGCAGGATTTCAGACTTGCCCAAAGAACACTAGTCGTGAGGGTGGTTCGAAGAAAATAAAACAAGTTTATATTCTGCAAGAATGTAAAATTAAGTGTTGATAAGTAATTCGTTTAATTCGCACTGTATCAGGTGTTTTTTGTTTCTTCTGAAAAACACTACATTACTAATGTTCTAACCAAACGTTAAGGCCAACCTGCAATAATTTCTGTTAACTTTTTTAAGATGCGCCTAACTACGTAGCATATAAAGTGATACTGATATATTATTATTATTTTTTTTTTGCTGTTAATCATTTAAATGATATTAAATCTGTTACAATAAAAAAGTGCTTGGCCTAGTGGTTAGGGTACTCGACTCGCAATCTGCAGGTCGCGAGTTTAAATCCCATTACCGAATATACTTGCCCTCTCAGCCATGGAGTGCTTTATAATTTGATGGTCAATCTCACTATTCGATGGTAAAAGAGTATCCCTTTCTTGTAATCTATCACTTCAAAATTTGGGATGGCTAGCGCAGATAGCCCTCGAGAAGCTTTACGCGAAATTCATCAAACAAAAATCTTCCAATATATCTTGAAAAACAATATTTCTTCCTCTAAAATTTTTATTATTATATTAGAGTAAGATTTATAATGCGTAAGCTTGTAAATCACACACTAATTTAAAGTGCACGTTATAATGCTGCTATGCAAGTGTCTGTAAATGTATTTTTAGGCTTCGTAACACTTCGAGACGTACTTTTTCACTTCTCATTCTATGAACAAAGTACGGGGGGGGGGGGTTAAGTGGTACTGTTATTAATGTTTATTAATTCATAACTTACCTTAACATTTCGTAATATATCAAACACCTAAGGTTGAATAGTGATGTTATTGCACTACGTCACTGTACAAAAGTTATGTAGTACTGTTAGGAATTCGGTTGCCGTTCCCAATCAACCATGAAATTGACAGCTAATTTCTGGCACAAAATCGCGCTGGCAAAAGAGAAAAACGTGAACACTGAAATTTCAATAAACATGATTAACATCCTCGACGGAATTATCATCATTATTATGGATGATTCAAAGAACGCAAATTGATTGTCTTGTTGTTTTATAGCAAAGCCGCAGTGGGCTATCTTCTGTGTCCACTGCGGGGAATCGAATCCCGGATTTCAGCGTTGTAAGTCCGTAAACTTACCGCTCTGGCTATCTTCTGTGTCCACTGCGGGGAATCGAATCCCGGATTTCAGCGTTGTAAGTCCGTAAACTTACCGCTGCTGCAAATTGAAGCAAGACTTTAAATTATCCAACAAGGTGATGAACACATTTTTAACAACGCAAAAATGTAAAGATGTATCTTCCTTCGCCCGTATCATCCTCATCTACAATCACGTGACTGCTCTGTAAACAAAACTAGCTACTATCACGTGCTATAGTTTTGTTTACAGAATAGTGACACGGTAACGTTTAATATTTGTACTTAAAATGTTCTAAAAATTAATCATGAATGGCTCACATCTCTCTCTCTCTATATATATATATATTTGCCAAGAACATTTTCTGACATTCATTAACATAAGGAACCTGGCCTGTTAACGGTCTCAAAAAGAATTTTTTTTCTGCAATTCTATCCATTCTAGGCTATAAAATCATGAATCAGAAATTTTCTATATTAGTTTATGCAAGATATGGTGCAAAAAAAAACAAAAAACAAGTATAATATAGTTTCAATTAAAAACAGTTCTTAGATGTATATATTTTTTCTACATAAATATTGAAATAGCTATCAGAATAAGAGTAAGAATGAAATTGAGCCATATTCTGTAGGATTATACAAATGTTTGTAAATTAGACATGTGAACCTACTTCTGTTCTTCTCTCCTTGACCATGGAAAAATCAAGGTGCTTCTCAAGTGACGCCATTTTGTTTCATGCTATATTTATGTTGTCCACAAGGTCCCAATGTTGATGATAAAAAGTCAAGTTACTTCACGCTCTGCGAAGTGTTTTAGTTTGAAAACTTCAGTTATAATTCAACTAAACCTGGAAGTGAGAGACTGGAGGTTTTATATGATATGGTCGAATATGAAATATATAAATGGTTAGCATTCTAGAACACTGACACATATTTTACCGCCTACAAATGAAACTTTACAGTTCTACTTTATATCTCACTCAGGTATGTAATTGTCGACGTGACCCTTCCCAAGCACATGCTACTTCTCTCAGATCAGCTGCGTCACTGCAGTTTCCGCATACAATGCGGTTACGAAACAGATACGTCGCAATACTATTAATATAACACACAAACATTTTCTAATTATTTTATTACAACCAATATAATTAAGAAACTGTTCTGAAGCTCTCTGATGACCAAAACAATCAAAATTTAAAGATTACGTAATAAAAATAAAAATATATTGTGCATACGCTTGGCCGGTATATCTACCGGTAACTGCGCCATCAACATAAGTTTATGTATTGCTGCGTAGGTCTATGATGTCGTCATTTGCCTGGCATTTTGCCAACATTCGTATACACGTGCTCTTGAAATCTTTACCATAATAATTTAATACATTCCTCATATATATATATCAAGCCTTTCAAACTATTTTACGCACAAGTTACGTTAGTGTCTTAAATTTATCGTGTAAAACAATATTTTGAGCTAAGACCTGGTAAATGCAAGGATATTGGAGATGTTTTGAGCGCCTTATTTGCTTCTCGTTTACACACAAAAAACAAGGCTTTTTGGTGGATCAATAAATCCAGATACGCGCGCTTAACTTGGTTATATATACAACTTTGATTACGTTATTTTTAAAACAACTTGTTACGTTTCAACACATCAATAAATAGGAAATAACTCAAAAATAGTCATCTTGATGTTTTCTAAAATATCTGTTTAATGTTTCATTGATCTTTCATTCCACTGAATCAAAAGCTATGCAACAAATACTACATTAAGTTGCTTGTGTTGCAACAAATACTACATTAAGTTGCTTGTGTTGCAACAAATACTACATTAAGTTGCTTGTGTTGCAACAAATACTACATTAAGTTGCTTGTGTTGCAACAAATACTACATTAAGTTGCTTGTGTTGCAACACATTTAGTAACGTCTAACTCATTATCCACGAAATTATTATAGTGGGTTTCTGATTGGGTTCAGCGACGTAGGTATTTGTGTGTGCATAACATGGACGTGTCAATTAAGAAGTTTAAACTCTTGGCAGTTTCTCGCTAAAAAAAAGTTTTGTTCTTAAGGTGATTAGTGATGCAACCTTTGCGTTTTCTATATAAATTCGAAGAATTCTATACATATTCTATACATATTCGAAGCTTTCCCGAGAAATAGCTTTCGTATTCGCTGCAATACACACATCTTCGTTGCGAAAGGAATTTTCTCTACTGTAAAAGTATTAACTGTACTACTCTTGTTAAAACTTAAAGATGTAATGAGAATTTTTACACGTGTTTTTGTTCGGGAACAGATAATTTAAGTACAAAAATATCGCCAAGAAAGCATAATAACTAAAAATACCGTACGTACTTTGAACATCACGTTACACAGTTTTAAAGCTTAAAACACTTTAAAACATATTAGATGTTTGTTCTTAACGTTTGGATTTAAATTACTTCTAGTTGTATAAACATCATTTCTACCAGGGTTTTAATTTGCATTATAACACCATGTTCACTTCTTTCCAGCAGGTTCATTTCATGATAGAGCTTCACGTATTTATTTATCTTACTCTGTGGATTGATTTAATTTCCTATGTGAAAGTATACAAACGTTTCAAACATTATACGTACGTATAGAATTATGTTAAACTTGCGATAATAAGACTCCAGTTAACTATTATCTGTCCAGAAAATAATGAATGAATAAACAATAACACACAATTAACCGTAATTCATCCATATAAAAGTAAAATAACAATAAAACACAGCGGTTATTCAAACAATTAAAACTAAACTAACAGCAAAATACAACAATAATTCATCGAAATAAAAGTAAACTAACAGGAAAAACAATTAGTCGTTATTTATCCACTTGCTACTAAACTAACCGTAAAACAGTTGGCAGTTTTTTGTACAATTAAAACTTACAGTAACAGCCACTATTCATCCAATTAAAACTAAACTAACAGCCAGGCATGTGGGCTGCAATCGAAGGGTTTAAGATTCGAGATGCGATACCACTGGACATATTCCATAGCATTAGTAAATGTGACCATCTTGTTATTCGGATAAGAGCCGAATAAAGTCTTCGAGGTTACGGTTGCTGCTGGCTGCCTCTCTTCTAATTAATATAATTCCAAATTAGGGACGGCTATACCTAATTTACAAGAGTTCTTAATGTTTAGCACACGTGTATAAGGCGTAGTTCATATTTGAAAAATTGTATTACAATATATACATTTAAAAGTGAATCAGTACTAGAATACGTTCATTAACCGTTAATCGTCTAATAAACATCGAACAACAGCAAATCACGGTTAATTGTTGTCACGTTTTATGGGGCTGGATTCTTGACAGTAGGTGTTTGTGACTTGTTTGCGATAAATTCTAACAATAAACGGACAGCACACAGTCCACTTGCTTTAAAATAATATATATATATATATTAAAAACAAGTCAAACGTATGTACAAAAATTATTTACACTATAAAACATCACAGTTATATATAAAACTCTAAATAATTCTATTTTCTTGTCATAAAGTCCACACAGGCTGGTTCAGTTACTTTAGAATCCAATTGACAAGACGAATTACTTTTCTCTACGCTGTTTCTTACTACACAATCTGCGATAAATTCCCTTCCGTGGCTTATCACAGAACTTTAAACAATTGTCTTCTTTTCGTCAAAGTCCAAACAGGCTAGTTCAATTACTTTAGAACACCCTTTGACAAGACAAATTATTCTCCTTTATCTCTGTTATTAGAATACCACTGAGACACTCACTTTAAATATTGCCCATTACGGCTAAACTAACAATCACGCAGTCTAACTTCACTTTCTCTAACTTAACCTTTACTGACTTAATTTTTTTGGTTACCATAATTGTATCCAGAGCTTTAAATAATGGTCCCGTTTCCCGTCAAAAGTCCATACAGGCTGGTTGAGTTACTTTAGAACCCAATTGACAAATAACTTATTTTTCATATCTCTGCGAAACACACTATAGAAATCACCCGTTAAGGATAATCACTCACACGCTGGCTAACTTCACGTTTTCTTTCACTAACTAATTTTTTTTTTTCTGATTGAACTTAAATTAGGTTAACTTAGTCGCCTATATATATAAATTACCCAGCTGAGGCCTAAAACTTTCTACAAAATCCAAGACGCTATAATGCAACAATACTCACTTAAGACAACGAGAAAAATACCGAAGATTCGAGTAACATGATGTTAACAATATAATAAAAGTACAAAAATTAAACTGCATAGACAACCCACGACTCGTACCGAGTTCGGTTACGAAATTTGTTATAACTATCGCTTTTAAAATATTTAACTTTTAACACTCTTGTTACGAAATCGAGATAATCGTTAAATATTAAATCACTAAATAATAACTCTTAAGCTAAAAAGGCTTGTATATCCAACAATTGTTGTTTACCCAATTAAAACTATACCATGCAGGCGGTAGCACTGTCTATGTAGGAATGGCTCGGATTGTTCCTTTAAATGATATTTAAATATATTCTCAATAGGTCACCAGAACTTTACAATACTATACAGTGTTTTCTTTTATAACAATATATATATAATGGAGTCACAACTTCTAGGAATGTCTGTAAGTAAGATAGCAAAAAGCTTGCATTTCTTTTGCTTCTTTTTTATTACATGATAATTCAAAAACCAAAACAATGGTGTCAACCAATTTTACTGAGGTGACATAGTTTTAAACGGAGTATCAGCTTGTATAAGTATTATTAATTAGTAGTAATTTAAAAAAAATCATAATTCTAGTGTAAACAATGTAATCATTACCCCTTAAAGTTAGCTTTCCTGCAGGAATTTGGTGTCCCTTTAAAAAGCTTAAATACAGGGTAACACAAGAACTATCAGCCAATAATAAATAAACAATAAATATTACACCTAGAATCTAATTGTATTTAGAACTTGGATATAAACACAGCCTTTCTGTATCTATTGAAATACTTCATTAAAAACAAGTAAAGAAAAAAACTGTTAAAATGTAGGGATGGCTAATATAAATCCTTCAAAAGCAAAGCAAACAAGATAGTGGGGATATAATTTGCATCATCCCTACATAATAGGACAGGCAATAATTAACATATAGCAATATATATAACTGTTCAGTCACAGTTGAGTTTAATTTATCCTATTTTTGTCTGTTAACATTCTACTACACTGTGTGCCCGTGCTATTATGTATGGATGATACAAATGTCATCCCTACTATCTTGTTT